ACCCACAGAAAAAACATGGTCAGTTCAAGTGGTTAACATGTGTTATTAAAACATCAACATAACCTTACAGAAAAAAACATGGTCAGTTCAAGTGGTTAACATAAATTATTGCATTATTTTTTCAGCTATCCCATAAAACAAACTTTCAAGCAGTTTTGTTGTTCTATACAATCCATATATCAATATATAACCCATGTAGTCCATTCACTGAGAGACCACTCTTGAAAATCAATACAACCAAGTAACATACACACACATAAAAAAATGGATTAAGATATTTTTTTAAGCTTAAGAGCACATCAACAGTAACTTAAGTTTTTTACTTTGACAAACATTATAAAAAAAAAAGTTTAAAACAATGAGAAAATAAAATTTACTTACCAGGAAGTCCAAAAGGGCTGTTGGGTGATGAGCTACTGATTGTAGATCCTGGAGAAGGAACACCTATTCCAGCAGGACCGGATATGTTATTCAGTGAAGGAGGTGGAGAGGTGAACCCCTGGTGTGAATAACTGACATTATGAGGCATAGAAGGCTCTGGGACTTGCTGAAAGTTGCTGACCACAGGGTGACCCGGTGGAAATTCGCTGTGACGAGGGACCAAAACAGGTGGCAACACTGCTAACAGAAATACAAATTGTCATTATTTTAGGACATCGGTAATCAATATTGAAGAGGTAAGTATTACAATAATTAAATGGCATATAGAAATATGAAGTTGTTTAAGGTAAGTATTACAATAATTAAATGGCATACAGAAATATGAAGTTGTTCAAGGTAAGTATTACAATAATTAAATGGCATACAGAAATATGAAGTTGTTCAAGGAGAAGATTATGTCAAAGTTAAAAAATGATGAACAACAAATGGGAGAAGAACAAAATCATTCAAAAAGTCCATGTAAATATAAAAGTCATGTCAGGTGCGAGGTTCATTTACGTCACAAATCACAAAATATGGGAGTTTATTTTGTGTACGGTATACATAAATCATATTACTCCATTAAATGCTCTCCCCCCCTCCCTCTAATAATAACTAACAATACCTTAAACATAGCAATCACAATATTTTAATAATCATTGTATATTACTTTGTTTTACATTGTGCAGGAAAACCTTTAGTTACATTATAATTACGGACAAAACCTCACCAGGACTTTCTATCCTCTTATAGTGGTATGGGTTGATGCAGACCTCTTTCTGTTTCGCAGAAAAAGGAAACTCACACATTTCCAGAGGCTTTAGTTCATGATGACTCTGAAGATCCGGCCAACGCCAGACTCTACAATAGATGACGTGAGGAAGTCCTTTTCTATGTGATACCTAGATTAAAAAACAGCATAGATTTTAAAGCAAAACTGTTTTTGACAGCCAAAGAGTAAATGTTTATAAGTGATTTTAACCCAAGATTTCCTTAAAATAAAACAGAGTTCTTTACAGCTATTTAACAAGTGCCTTGTAACATTCCTATATTACAAACTTGAAAAACTGATGTTTGGTTACTTCTGTACCTCATTCAAGAACCATAAAAAATTACAATTTTTCCTATTCTCATAAGCTTAAGTATAAACATGCATATATAACTAAACTGTTATACTTCCCGGTAGACACGACTTACTAAACTGTTCTACTTCCCGGTTGACACGACTTACTAAACTGTTCTAGTTCCAGGTAGACACAATTTACTAAACTGTTCTACTTCCCGGTAGACACAATTTACTAAACTGTTCTACTTCCCGGTAGACACGACTTACTAAACTGTTCTAAATCCAGGTAGACACAACTTATTAAACTGTTCTACTTCCCGGTAGACACGACTTACTAAACTGTTCTACTTCCCGGTAGACACGACTTACTAAACTGTTCTACTTCCCGGTAGACACGACTTACTAAACTGTTCTACTACCCGGTAGACACGACTTACTAAACTGTTCTACTTCCCGGTAGACACGACTTACTAAACTGTTCTACTTCCCGGTAGACACGACTTACTAAACTGTTCTACTTCCCGGGAGACACGACTTACTAAACTGTTCTAGTTCCCGGTAGACCCGACTTACTAAACTGTTCTACTTCCCGGTAGACACGACTTACTAAACTGTTCTACTTCCAGGTAGACACAACTTACTAAGCTTAATAAGCTGTTTTAGTTCCATGTGTACATAACTTAATAAGCTGTTTTAGTTCCATGTGGACATAACTTAATAAGCTGTTTTAGTTCCATGTGGACATATCTTAATAAGCTGTTCTAGTTCCATGTGTACATAACTTAATAACCTGTTTTAGTTCCATGTGGACATAACTTAATAACCTGTTTTAGTTCCATGTATGACTTAATAAGCTGTTTTAGTTCCATGTGGACATGACTTATTTAACTATTATAGTTCCAGGCATCTGTTTTTAAGAAACTGTAAATATAGCAATATTCTGTATGTAAGTACATCATTTTCTATAATACCCTATGTGTCTACCTCTAAAAAGCTTAATCTCAACTATTGGCAAAGCCCTGAAATAAACAAAGGTACTTACCTGTAGCCTACCATCTAAAGAACGAGGAATAGTCACACATTTACTAGGCTGCCCTGGACAACTTAATGCTTTTTCTAGTTCTTCAATGGCACCCTTCTTTTTCTTCAATTTCTTGACTAACGAATCTACAGCTTTCTCTGCCCACTTTTCTTCTTCATCACCCTGTTTCCACCCCAAAAGCTTCTTCACAGCAGGACTTGTGAATGAGAATAGACTATTGAGACCAGACATATCCAGGCTGTAACGTGTGCAGATAAGATGACTCTTCTCAATCAAAAATATTTGAACCTGACAAATACCAAAACACATTTAATATTAAATATATGTCAAATGTTATTAACAAATGCATAAAAACAAGTTTTACTTAAACATTCAACTTAAACACATAAAAGCCTGAACTGTTACTGATAATCATGGCATACTGAAACACTCTCAAACTGAACTCTACAGATTACATTTTTCCTTGGTAAACAAAATGATTTCATTATTATCAAGTATACATATGCCTATTCTAAACAATTTAAATATAAGAATGTAGGCATAACTAAGAAAAACATTTTTAGTTCCAGACATCTATCTTTAATTTAGAGAAAAAGGTAATGAACTAGATACATGTAGAACTATATAACTCACTACATTATACGGTGACCAGACATCCCAGTTTGACCAAGACAACCCAGTTTTTAGTATGTTGTCTTAGTGTCCTGATAGATCCTTTTGGAACACCTAAATATCCCAAGTTTAAATTTCGTTGGTAATCAATAATTTTTTTCCATACTTGAGTTCAGTACTTTGAGCCTATCAGTAACCATGAATTAACAGCTACAATGTTTTAACTGGATAGATAAATTATCACACAACTAGGAATGACACAGTGTAGCCTCTGCTGCTTCCTCTAAAGTTGGCCATAAGGCAGGCTGCAGCAAATGTCAATATCACTATTGGATACATAACTGAGAATGTGACTTTTCACCTTCCAAATTGGAGGTACTTTTATTTATTACAGCCAATGTTCAATATTCCAGTTGTGAAACATTTACTTAAATAAACTCTTGGCCAACACTCATAAAGTTCTGAGTAACTGTCATTCCCAAACTCTTGGCCAACACGAATGACAGTTACTCAGAACTTTATGACAAACTCTTGGCCAACACGAATGACAGTTACTCAGAACTTTATGACAAACTCTTGGCCAAAACGAATGACAGTTACTCAGAACTTTATGACAAACACCTGGCCAACATGGGAAGGAGATCTGGAAAGTAGATAGAGGGGGAGCAGAATTGAAGGCAGAAACCTTCAGATAGAACCCATAAAACTGTCATGACACATAAACTAAACATATCTTAGAGAAGGTACTCAATGCTAATGAACTAACAAAACTGGGAAATTTGTAGTTTATAAAATACATAGAAAAATATCAAACCTGCAAAACTATGAAATTCAACATAAAACAACACCTAAAAGTACAAAACTACTAAAGGAACTTAGAAGATAAAAGACCCTTAAAATGTGAACATACAAGTCCACACAAAAAACCTATAAGACAAAGCACATGAAAGTACAACCTACCCTGAATAACATGAGAATAAAAAGGTACCCAGTTAACCCTTCTAATACGGGTGGGTGGATTCCACCCAGACCATATTCCCAAAAGTACCCATAAAGCACTTGTACTGTAACTTTTTAAAATGTACACATATCTTCATGAAATTTTGCAGTTATCAGTAAATATTAAAAAGCATTCATACACATAGTATCAAATTTTTAAATTAAGTTTTAATATTTAATAATTGATTATTTATTTTTGAATGTTGACTAACCAACAATTTTGATTTTAAGATTAAAAATACTTTTATGCATCAGAAAATTGTAAAATTTCCCATGCAAAATCTCTATAACTTCCTAATAATCTCCAGAAAATTACTCGACCGACCTTGCAAACACCACAAAAAATAAAAAATAAGATATAAATTATGCTTTTTCCACTCTAGAATGACAACAAATTATAAATAGAAACCACAAATGTTTAGTGTAAATAACTTAAATCTCATAATATGTTACACATATAAAAATTATTTTACAATAACAATATAAAACTGGCCATTACAAAGTGACCTGTCTTGGCTGTGTTCTAGTGAACCAGTACTTTGTAAAATACAGTCACATTTCAGTTATATAACATTTTATATGTATATACATTAATAATATTAACAAACAAGTTCTTATATTTGATTTATTTTTCTTAAAACATAAAACAGTAAATAAAGAAGTATAGAAAACAATGATCTCTTACAGTTACGACCTTTGTACTCGTTTACTGCTTGCCATAATTTGCTAAGCCTTATCAAATTTCACACAAGGAGAATGTAAAACAAAATATATATATTTTTAGGTTTTATATATGCATTTTGAAATAACAAATAATTATAAATTACTATATAAATACTACAGAATTCCACTATAATTTATCAGACTTACTAACTAAGCTGTATTTGGGTTTAAAAAAATATGATTTTTCGAGCTCAATGAAGTCTTACCATACCACTTAGAATATACCTTGAAAAGGAAGGGTTTTCCACATAAATACTTTGCACAGGCTCAGAGAACCACGTGAGGACATTCTGAGTTTTAAATTAGTTATTCACACATCACAAACAGAAGTAGGGGTACATAAGGATTTCCAAAAATGAAAAGAGGTGGGCATGGCCACTGTGTTTGATTCAGTACATGTGTGGACATCATTAATATCTAATCTGACCCAATGCTCCATTCAACAAACCACGTGACACACAAAAAATCAATATTTGTTTTTTTATATTTACTTTTAAATTAAGAAATTAACTAATGTATAATATTAAAATTTGTATTATAATCTACAGTTTCATACCAAACTTATTAACATACATTCATGAAATAGTAGTTCAATAAAATTTTGATTGCAAGTCTACAAACATGACATGACCTTTGACCAGTGACCGTAGGAAGACTCATCTCAGTAGGGTTAACAATAACAAATGTTGACTCATATTTAATCCCCAATTAGATGTGGCTAGTAGTAAAGATAAAGGAACTTCCAACTAACTAACATAAACAGTGAAAGGAAATATAAATTACAAACCAACACACCCACAAATTTAGCCGAAGTTACAATTATCCAAACAGTAACAATTGTGCAAAACCAGTACATGTATCAAAAATTCAACAAAAACAAAGTAATAATCAAATTGTAAGTGCAATTTAAACTAAAGTAACTTAGATGGTCAAAGAATTATAAAAATCTAACATACCAAGTACTGAGCAGAGAAGACTTGAAAGACTGAAAATATCATGTGCAGAAATTAGGTCCATCCACACAAACTAAAATAAACTTGCTAAACATGGGTATACCTACTGGGAGTTAGGAATACATGCTGAAAAACTTACTACAGATCTCCTGGGAAACAGAACAATACGAATCCCAGCAGATTACATGGAGGTACAGTAACAGGTGGAAGGTGCCACAGACAAAAATTTACACTCAGTAGTTATATCTTTCCTCACAAATAATAATAATGTGAAAGGTAGAAATTGTCGGATGAATGTAAGACACAAACTTCCCGTTAACTAAACCCTGTGCTTCTATAGCAGATATCGTCGACCCCAAGACTAGTGTCAGAACCATTGTCTACTGCAATGAGAAATTCATCATCTGCCACATTAAATCTCGAATTCATATGAACAAATTAGAATTTGGAAAACAGAAATATTTCTAAAATGAGGAGACACAATGGAAATCAAACACGAGAAGTCAAAACCCGAAGTTGAAACTGATATAAAGCAGTGATCGAGCACAATCACATTTTTCTAGTCACATGGAGAGGGAGTTAAAACACGTCTATACACTAAAATGCCAATCGAGAAATTCATGATTGTGCTAAAATAGTAGAGGGAGCTACCTGTGCTAGTATAGATGGCACAGTATGATAGGTGGAGGGTAGTCACGTGATCATCACGTTCTGAAATAGCATAAAAATGAAGAGGTATAAAAGACTGGTGCGCTGTTAGCAAAAATATTTTTAGCAATGTTTAGAGGGCAAACCAGGATCGAGATAGCTTTGGGTGAGAGATGGTAGTACTATCAGTTCTATCAGTTAACATTTTATAACATTATCATGCAGATAAATAAACATTTTAAACAAAGAACCCAACATAAAGAAACAAAAAATCAAGGAATCCATCTTAATAGGACAAAACAACCCTATTCTAAACCAACACCCCGGT